AACATTCATTGGACTGGCATAGATTCTGCTTGGCACAGCAGATACAAACATAAGTAATATGTAGCCCTAAAATCATCCTCCAAATCCTTTGCAGGAAGCCAGCTATCTATGTGAGGGTCAGTCAGACCCTTTTAGTGATGGATAGGTAGAGCTATTTATACAGGATCTTTTGAAGTTCAGAAATAGAAACATGAATTCAGGGAAAAGTGGCCATTGCTTTTTTTGGGGGGTACTGGGATTTGAACTCAGGGCTTCACACTTACAAAGCAGTTGGTCTACCACTTGAGCCACACACACACACCTCCAGTCCATTTTGCTGTGGTTATTTTGGAAATGGAGTCTCATGAAATATTTGGCTGGGCTGGCCTCAAACTTTGATACTCCAGATCTCAACCTCCCAAGTAGCTAGGATTACAGGGTGAGCCACCAGGGCCTGGCTTTTTTTTTTTTTTTTTAAGACAGGGTCTCACTATGTAGTCCAGTTTGGCCTTGAACTTGCAATCTTCCTGTGTTGGTCTCCTGAGTGCTGGAGTTACAGGTATTGCCTCCTTAATGGAAGGGTGCCTTTGTGGAAGAGAGATGGACTTGAATCTTCTTCCCAGGAGAGAGCAGCACTCAGGGATTCCAAACAGTACCCTGTTTAAATAACTCAGTCACCTTCTTGTCTTAGTTCAAAGACCTTTGGGATGACAGCACTATGCAGCGTGTCCATGTGGGCCTCCTTTGGAGAAAGAAAATTATGAGGAATATCTTCACCCATGATTAAGAAAATCCCTTCGTGGGTTCGGTCCCCAGCACCAAAAAACAAACAAAGAAATCCCTGGGGGGGGAAATTGTTTCTACCTAAATGAGAGAGAAGATAGTTTACTTTGATTACGTATTTTAATCTTTTGAAAAATCTTTTGAAATTGCTATTAATATCTTTATTTTTACAAATTAGGAAACAGACATGAGGCTAGGCACCTGGTTTAAGATATCAGAACTAATTAATTTTAGTTATACGATCTGGATTGTATTTGGGCCTGGAAATTAATCCTATATTTGTAATTCTGAGGTCATGTTAGTTCCACCACCATATTGGCTTACAGTGAGAAATCTTTAGGGAAGGGAAAAGGGAGTGAACATCTATAGGTCCCTTTAAAGCCAGCAGTAATATGCGAGTTTGCAGGAATGGGCAAAATTTGGGGTTCCTTCCTTAAAAGTTTCCTTCTGTCATTTGGAAAAAATTTAAAATGTGTGCATTTTTATTAGGTTGGCAAAGATCAAGAAGGTTACAAAAATCCTTTCAGAAGGGTATGGAGAAAGAGGCACTCTTAAACATTGCTATTGGGAATATGAAATTGTACAGCTTTTCTGAGGACAACTTGGTAAAATACATCAAAATTACAAACATACATACCTTTTGGCCCAGCAATTTCACTTCCACTAGACATCTATAGTGCAGAGATATTTGACACATTTTCAAAATGATACATGTTCAAGGTTGTGGACTGCAGCATTGTTTGAAATTCAGTAGACTGAAAACAACTAAGTGTCCACCAAGAAAGAATTGCTTAAATTAAGCTTCGTCTATTCACAACAGCCCCAAGAATAAGGGAACTGGCTAGTGATAGGAATGGTTTCCAAGTGATATTAAGTTAAATTATCAGGCTGGTGGAGTGGCTCAAGCGGTAAGCGTGAGGCCCTGAGTTCAAACTCCAGTGCTGCCAAAAATATATATGTATATGTGAAATGATTGGGATCCAATCATTTCATTTACAGAAAATCTTTATGTGTTTGCATGTCATCTGCAAGAACATACAACAAACTAACAATATTTGACCCCACAAAATAAGAGATGGGGGAGAGTGATTCATATCCAGTAGAGTGAGATTTTAATTCCTTTAAAATTTTAACCATATGTGCCAGGTGTGGTGGTTCATGTCTGTAATCTCAACATTGGGGAGGCTGAGGCAGGAAGATTGCAGGTTTGAAGCCAGCCTGGACTACACAGAAAATTCTAGCCCAGCCTGTGCTGCAAGCCAGACCCAGTCTCAAAAAACAAACAACAAAACTAACCATATGAATGTATTAGGTATTCGAGAAAAAGGAATTAAAATTTAAAACTAAAAAATAAAGCAAGCACATGCAGCCTAAGTTACCTTGTGAGTAAGGCATACAATGTCTTTTTTTTTTGGGTGGTGGTGGTGGTACTGAGGGTGGGAATCAAACCCAGGGCCTCATGCATGCTAGGCAAGCCCTGTACCACTGATTTACAATCCCCAGCCCCAAGAATGAATGTCTTTTTATGATCAGCACTAAGGTTAGAGGATATCAGTGTTAGACCCTAGTGAGTTTTGGTCCTACTACTTACTACCTATGTGGCTTTGGACGTTACTCTAAGACTCCGTTTCCCCACCTGTAAAATCAGAAATATCTCAGAGGATTGGTGAGAACTGAATGCACATAAGTACTTAAATTCATAGCAAACACTCAATAAATGTCAGTTATTATTACTATTTCTGTTCTTACAACTCCAACAATAAACCAAATTCTGATTTGCTCTGGTTGCTTTTGAACTAGCCTGGAGGCAAAGAGACAAACTAGATAATTCTCTAGGAGTTTTTCTGCCCAGAGGCCTGAGTTTTCACAATCTGTAGACATTCTTCCTTCTGGCTGCTGCCACCCACCCCGCAGACCTCCCACCTGTGCTAAATGAAGTGTGCTGGAAGCGAGGAGGTTTCTCAGAACCTAGCCGGTTTGTTTTCTCAAGGGTGGAGGGCGGGAAGAAATCCTGTTGACACAGTTATATAAAGCATGTCACTCAGTCCCCTGCCCACTACCTCTACAGACCGTTATGCATATTAAAGAAGGAGGGGGGGCGGCAAATACAAAAGAAAAATAAGCGAGAGAGAGAGAGAGAGAGAGAGAGAGAGGGAGAGAGAGAGGGAACAAATCAGGATGCTTGAGGGAATCCACGTGGTCGCCAATCTGTAACTGATCAGAGCAGCTATACTGAAGCAAAACCCCCAGAGCCTAACGCTAAATATATTGCAAGGGTGAAATCGTCCACAATGGGCTGTCCAGGTCCCAAGCAGAGTCTTGGGGCTGCCGGTTAATGCCCTCCCGCTTCTCCCACTCTCTTTACACCTAGTAAACCACGCGATGCAACAACGGAATCTGGTTCTGTGTGTGCGTTGTTTGAGTGTGCGCTTTGCAAACCATCTGGGCCCCATCCTGAGCGGTTGGAACGACGATGATCGATCCGGGACGAGTTCGGGGAGTTGGGGCTTGCCTGGTCTCCTCCCTTTCTCTGCTTCCCTCCACCTCCCACCCCACCGTGCGCTCCGCACAAACGTTTTGCTGTTGGAAGGACATAGGTTTTCAGCACCAGGAGGCCGTGGACCTTCTCTGGAGGCGTGCAGTACACCCTCCAGAGGGCCAGAGCTGCTAGCAACCTGCTCCCTTACGACCCTCCCCCTCCTTTCCAAATTTGCCGCCCCAGGCAAATTATTACTAGCAATGAGCAGTACCGGGTGCGGGAGTCCAGGAAGGCTGCGTGACCTTCCAGCGAACTCCACCTCGGCTGAAGGGGGGGGAGGTGGACATAGGGGGGGGGGGGAATGGAGGCTGCCCCGGGGCCTGCAGGCTGTGCATCGATCCCCCTAGCCCCAGCCAACGCAAGTTCTCCCGGCACAGACCCCTCCCTCCCCTCCTGGCTTTCCCAGCCTAGCAGGCTTCTAACGCCTAGCTAGAGGCGCCCTCCTCTCTTCCCCCCAATAAAGTAAACCCGGTGGACATTCATTCCCCCCGCCCTAGCCCTCCCCCTCCTCCCTCCTTCCCCCTCAGTTTGCTAACCCCGCGCCCAGAGCTGGCCGCCGGCGGGCCCCTTCCACCCAGTGTATCATAATGCCCAGCGCCCCCCTCCTCCCCCTCTCTTAATCAGAAACGTGCTCGCGACCCCCCCCCCCAGGGTGCATACATTAGGGTCTGCTTTGCATGCAGCGGCAGGCAGGGACCGGAGGAAGAAGGGGCGGGGGCGCTTTTGCCCGCCTCTTCCCTCCAGGCCCCGTTAGCCACCCCTCTGCAGCTTGGTGCCAACGCCGCGTCTTTTGCGGAGCACGCTGTGGCCTCAAAGCCCCGAGCTGGGAGGAAACACCACGTAACTCCGCAGCAGAGCACCAAAGCCAGAGGCACCTCGGCCCCGAACGCACAGTCGGGCGAGGAAGTGGCGGGAGACCTTGCCACTTGGTGTGTGCGTTTTGGAGAGAGAGCTCCAGCATGGAGATGGGAGGGGCTTCTTTTTATCTTATTTTTTTTAAAGCGCGTCCGCCCAGGCCCTCTGTATTTTGCATAGAGTAAAGCGGGCAGCGCTTCTGCTTTGCATGTAGTACAATAAGAGCTCTTTTATTCTAGAGGCGTTCGAGTCGGGCTAACCCCGCGCGCGCATCCGTGCCCCGAGGCGGAGGGGACGGATCGCTCCTCCCCGGCCCGGCGGCCGCGCGGTACTGGAAGCTGCTCTCCCGGGCGGTTCGATTCCCAGCGCGTCCCGGGAACGTGTGTAATCGGCCTAGGGCTCTCCCGGCTGCAGGCGGCCCCGGCTCCCTCCGCCTCCATCCTCCCCCTAGTCCTCGCCCCCTCCCCCTCTCCCCGGAACCCGCGCTCCACTCCGAGCTCCTGGGCTTCCTTCCCCCTCCTTTTCCAGTGCAAAGCCGCTCCCGGAGGGCGGGGCATGCAGTTATCCAGGTTGCGGGGCGGACGGGCGGGCGGGCGGAGGCGGCCCGGGCCTCGGCATAGAGAAGCCACGGCCCGGCGTCAGCGGCGCAGGCCCGAGGCCCGTATGCAGATTGCGGGGCGGGCGGGCGCGGCCCGGCGCTCAGCATAGCGGCCTACGGGGTGCGGGCGGTCGGGCGGCGCCGAGCGGGTTAGGCAGGTTCCGGGGCCCCCGGCCCCCCCTCTCCGCCTCCCCGCCCCCCTGTGTTGTCGCCTCTCCCTCTCGCTGCTTCACTTCACGGGGCGAACATGGCGCACAGCTGTCGGTGGCGCTTCCCCGCCCGACCCGGGACCACCGGGGGCGGCGGCGGCGGGGGGCGCCGGGGCCTAGGGGGCGCCCCGCGGCAACGCGTCCCGGCCTTGCTGCTTCCCCCCGGGCCCCCGGCTGGCGGTGGCGGCCCCGGGCGCCCCCCTCCCCCCCGGCTGTGGCGGCCGCGGCGGCGGCGGCGGCGGCGGCGGCGGCGGCGGCTGCGGCGGCGGCGGGAAGCAGCGGGGCTGGGGTTCCAGGGGGAGCGGCCGCCGCCTCAGCAGCCTCTTCGTCGTCCGCCTCGTCTTCGTCTTCGTCATCGTCCTCAGCCTCCTCAGGGCCGGCCCTGCTCCGGGTGGGCCCGGGCTTCGACGCGGCGCTGCAGGTCTCGGCCGCCATCGGCACCAACCTGCGCCGGTTCCGGGCCGTGTTTGGGGAGAGCGGCGGGGGAGGCGGCAGCGGAGAGGTAAGCGGGGAGGGGGGGGAACGAGGAACCCCCCCACCCCCAGACCTGGGGTCTCGACCCTCTTGTGGAGCCCTCTCCCCTCCCCCATCCGGGATTGAGGAGCATCCCAATTCTGGAGCCATCCTGGGGTCCCTGACCTGGGGCAGATGGCTCTCTCATTTTGGGACTCCCCTTCCAGGGCTGCAGACCCCCAGGCACCCCCACCCCAGGGTTCTGACCCATCTGGCTAAGGGCGTCTGTCCCCACTTTCCTCCCCTAGACCCTTCCCCAAATCCCTTGGCAGGCACGGACCCCCTCGCCGGGGTTTCCCATCCCGGGACTGAACCCCTCCTCCCTTTCACAGATTACCTCATCCGAGCCAGATCGCTCCCTCCCTCCCTGCTAGAGACCTGATCCCGCCACATCCCTGCCTCCCTCTCTGGGCAGATGTGTTACTCCTAGGGCAGAATTCCTCTCGGACATCACCCGGGTGGTGGCCTCTTCCAGGGGCCCCTGGGGATCCCTGTCCCCTCCCGCACCTTGCTACCAAAACCTGAGCAACCCTCGCCCCGTCCCCGGCCAGGTCCCTACCTTGTCAGCCACTCCCCCTTCCTACATCTCCACCCCAGCCCACTGCCACCGGTGGCAGACAGGACCCCCACCCTCGGAAACCTCTTTTCCTCTCCACCTGACCGCCCTCACCTCCTTCCCTCCGAAGATAACGGTGCTGTCCTCTGCATCATTCTCATCCCCCGTCTTCCAGGGCTGCAGTTCCTACCCTGCTGGTGGCGGAATCGCTCTACCTTCCCTCCACCCTGTCCTTCCTTTAGAATGAAGGATCAGTAGCTTCTTAGAGGGGACATAGGCCAGTGTCCCCTAGGCTTGGAGGGGAGCAGCTTTCCAGCACTCCCCTGGAGAGGGCCAGGCTCTCCCTCCAGCACTGGGGAAGGGGCCCCTGAGAGGGGAGGTGTTTGTGGGGGGACTTGGGCAGCATCCTCCCAGGGGACGCAGCTGCTCTCCTACCCCACCCACTGCGCCTGAGAGCTTGCAGTCTCCAGCCCTCGCTGCCTCCCGCCCTTCTCCTTTTCTCGTCATTTCATTATTGATCCATCTTCTAGGCTAGTCCTGGGACTTGGAAGGGGTGGGGGAAGCCGGGTTGGGGTAAGGAGAGTAGATAAGGCACAGTTTTACCTTAGTGTGGTGGTGATGGTGGTTTCCTTGGGTTGGGAGAAAGAGAGGGATTGTGAAGCAAAGTTAGTTCTTGGAACAGTTAGTTATCTCTGATTCTTAATAAGGGGACCCAAGGTGGATGAAGGGTCAGGCTTTGCCCCTTCCCCATTAGTAAATAGGTGAGAATGGGGATGCTTGGATAAGCGTTATCCAGCCTCCTTCAGAAAAAGGAAAGTTGCCCTGGGAAGGGGAAGTTGAGTTCAGGTTCAGCTAGTGGCATTGCGCATTTGTTTTCCATTGGATGCAGAAGGGGCAGTTTGAATCACGGGGGAGAGGGAGGGATGGGATGGGGGATGCTAGGAGAAGGAAGAGCAGCTGCTAGGGGCTGAAGCAAGGGGGGTAGGGGGTTGCTGCTCTGGAGTGCTCTTGATTGAAACAGAAAGGGAAAGATAACAACCAGTCGTTTCCTGAGTGCTCTGCCGTTGGTGCACACAAAATATCCTGGGCAAACCCCTTGTTGCCCATTGTGCCCCGCACCCCTTTAGATCTACCAAAAGATCCTGGGAAGATGGGGAGGGAGGAGATCCCAGGGACCCGGGCCTCTCCTTTCAGGGAGCTGGCATTTTTTAGTTGTTAGTCTTCCTGCCTTCTTTTTAAAATTGTTTTTAAGGCAGTCTGATCAGGAGACTGACAACAACCTGCCTCTGACAGTGCAAGGAGGACATGATGGGGGCGTGTTCCTTGCTGTGTAGCTAGCTAGCTGCAGCGTCCCCTCTCCCTGCCTCTCTGCTCTATCTCCACCTCCTTTGCCCAGCCTTCAGGAGGCAGCTGCAGTCAGCAGGGTTGTTTGAGATATTTATTGGTTGCTGTAGATTATTATTTTTTTTTGAAAGGCCAATTCTGTATTTTTTAAGCTAACAACACAGATCCCATGTAGTTGGAGAACCAAAGGCCTCATACATGACAAAAAGACTGAACCGTTCAGGTTACTTGCATGGAGTTGGTGCTTAAATGTGAGTTGATTTTGCTTTTTTAAAAGATACAGCAGCAAAAAAAAAAAAAAAGAAAGAAAGAAAAAAAAAGAATAGACTTACTGACATTTCATTTACCTGCTTATTTTCAAAATTGAGACTTGTCTGGTTTATATAGAATTTTTAGCCCTATGTATATTTGAGTATAATAAGAAAGGTGTCTGTTAGAAGAAGTTAGTTTGTTTTAAGGGAATCCTAAAGTGTTTTCTTCTTGTTTAGCATGCTTATATATTTTGTACTGAAGGACCAAGTGATCATGCTCCAAACGTTATCACATATTCAAAAGCAAAGTTTTATGCTGACAGTTCCCAGTCATAGCTTTTCAAGAGACTGGTTAGAAAGAGAGATACCTGGATTCAGGGACCTAATGTCTGGGCACCAGAATATTTTATCTGTTGGTTTTTGACAAATCACCTTTAAACTTTTATCAGGTGCTAACAGTTTCTTATCTACTGGCATTATGAGATGATTGTAAAGTAGAGTTTTGATATGCCTAACAGTAGTTTATAGTGTGAAGCTTGTCAAGGAATTGTAGTTATTGCAAATAAGATCATATTAATAAGAGGGCTTTTTTTTTTTTTCCTTGAAAACTTTTGCTTGAGCAGTTGTTGCTACTTCACTATGAGAAGAGTGGTTGACTCCTCGAATCAAACATCATTCTTCTGAATGGGCTTGAATGATTTGTTGGTAAGGTTTTGATGTGCTAGTCTGAGGCTATCTAGCATGGGTTGATGGTATGTGACATCATTGGTAAGCCATTTAGAGTGATGATCACCTTTGACCTGGTAGTTTTGAGTGTAGAAACCAAGCATTTTGTTTTATACTCTAAAACATCAGTGATAAAGTTCCAAAAGAAAGTGTAGGATCACTCTGGGCTGACTATACATAGAGAGTTCTAAAGATTGCTTCTCAGAACTTGTTCAGGCCTCTGTATCAGGTCTTGTCTGGATTCAGGAAGATGTGACTATATAACACGGGACCCAAAATGATTCTAACCTCTTTAAATTGTGGTTTATTTTAAACAAATGATGACTACAAGTAGCCTTAATAAACCCTAAGTTAACTTCCAAAGCTAGGTGACAGAACTTCTTGATCATACCGTGATGGAACTTTGTTAGCCAAGGACACTTGTACCTCACTGCCATTGGTTTTTACTCTGCTTGTGTTGGATATCTCTATGGTAATAACTAATGTGAGAGTTCTTGGGACTAAATTTTGTTAGGGTGGTATTATTTAAAAATACATAGATGTTTCTGTTGTTTGGGCTTTCTGTGTGACAACTAGGAAGTAGAACTGGAAGTTTTATTGCATACTATATGAAATCATAGAGGTCCATTTTTGCCTTTCATGCCCCCTTTGCTTTGTAGTACTGTCAGTGTCCCATCTTCCTAAGGATCATCTCAGGCAGTGTCCATACTACCTTGCTTTGCCATCTAAATAAATAGCTTGGCTTAGCAGCATCTTCTCTGTTGACTAGAATTTGGGCTGTTTTAATATAAGCTTCAAAAATAGTTTATGAGCTAGTATGAATTTCATAATCAAGTTGCCTTTCCTCCCACCTCTCAAAATGTTAAAAGCACAATTTTCTTCTGGATCATAACACTGCAAACCTTAATTAGATATAAATTGAAACTGAATTACAATGTTGGTATATACTTTTTTCATTTGACACTTCAATTCAGTTCATGTGGACTGAGGCAGACTTTTGGGTTAGGTTTAGAAAAGATGATAGTCCTCCAGCTGGAAGGTGGTTAGAGTGTGGGTTTTTTTTTTCTTATGCTAGCTAGGCGTATGTACCAAGAGAAAGTTGCTCCTCATTGCCTCACAGCTAATCCTGAGCATACCAAAAGGAAAATGGAGCATAGGACACAAGTGGAATGGATATGGACTCTCATCTCACCTCTGCCACTGTCTAGTTAGGACACATTGGGCAATTTACTGATGAATAAAATGAGAAAACCTTACTCAATAGCTCAGGAGTCTTTTTTGTTCCATTATCCTGATTCCTTTTTGTTATATTAACTTTGGTCAGGTCAGAATTTCTTATTCTGAGTTTATTTCGAGAGTGAGAGTTAGACTCCTGGTGATCTTTAATATCAGATTGTGCATTTGTGCATTTAACCGGCATTATTATCTGGAGAAATTTGAACTTGGTGAGAAAGTTTTGATTGTGTAGAAAAAGTATAAAGACTGCTGAAGTTGGCTGATTTCATTTACAACAAAAATGAAGATAAACTTTTATTGACTTATTTTTTGGCCATACTGGGGAGTGAACCCAGGGCTTCTCACTTAAAGGGTCTACCACTTGAGCCTTGCCCCTGGTCCTGATTTCTCTGTGTTGCCAAGCTGGCCTCAAACACCTGCACTCAAGCCATTATCCTGCCTCAGCCTCCTGAGTTGCTGGCATGGACCGCCGTATCTGTGTTGAAGATAAAATTTTAAATATTGTTCTTAGAACCCATAGAACCCCAGGCGTTATCTGGTATTCAGAGACCCTCTTGTTTGGCTAAATTTATCATTATTGTACATTCCTGACTATCCAAAAGGAAAGTTATTTTGTGTCTCAGTGGTATATTCCTTTAGGTGTCTGTGCTTTTAAATGAAAAAACTCTAGCATATGAGTTTATTTATAAATCCAAAGTGATAGCACCTACTTTATGGGGGAGTAGTTAATACATTCTGAAATGAAGTACTTTGGTTTGTACTGAGTGAGTATTAGAAATTCAGTCTTTAGGAGTTTTCTTCTCACCAAAAACCATGTGCCATGTCCCCACCTTTTCCTTCCATTTACTTACCTTAAGGCACAGGCTCCTAGAGGAA